TATTGATATCTGAGTGCTTCCATATCAGTGTCATGACTGACTATTGAATACTGAATTTCCACTGAGAAGTGCGCAGCTGCAGTCCATCACTTTTCACACTTTTCTCCCATACAAGTGTCCGAAAATTGCTGCCAAATGTAAAATTTGCATGTGTAACAGAGTTATGTCAGTCTTTAGTGTGGAGTTTATTAGGAGATAAAATCATAGAACCATTGAACAGTTAAAGAGCTACTTCCTGTCTTACTTTAAAGTGAAACATTATATAGGAAGTACAGTTTTAAGTGTTCACACCAATTTCTGGATGTGACGATGATAAATTGAAGGCCTTCTAAGATTGCAAGACGTAATGCCATAAGACCTTGCTACACATCTTTTCAATTATTATATATTTTCTAATAATGTTTCAGTCAATGCATTGCTGCTTCTTTAAATCGTGATGTTGTATTAAAATAAAAATCTTTTTTTTTTTTTATTATCTTAGTTTTACTTGTTAATTTGTGGTGCACTGGAATAGCAGAGGCCAAGGTTGACTGTTTGTGCCATCAGGCAACTGGAATAAACTGATTTTATTACTTAATATTACTTTTTTTCTAATTGTTTAAAAAACTTCTTGACTTTATATTAATCATTACATTTAAGATAAATCTTATATTGTTTTTATTTAGAAGCCAATGGATCTGATGGGCTCTCTATTGGACTCCTGACCTAACTCTAAGCAGCTTAGCTTGCTTCTACGTAGGGCCGGCTCTGTCTCTGTCCTATGTTGCTGAACCACTACTGTACTAGTAAATGGCTAATTGCTATATTTAAATTTAGTTTTTCTACTCATATGTTAAAAATTAATTCTAGAGCCCAAAAAGTTTGACTTGCACTCAGTTTCACTTTAAGACCTATGAGCTGCTTTATAAACGCTATGACTTATAATTAGATCAGTAAGCTGGGTTCATCCTGATGTGGGTAGAAATCAATGGGACCGTGTAACTCATGTGCCGTCAACCGCAACAGAAAAGTGGGAGCAAACAGCCTCGCGCCACACAGCACCAACACCGCTCTGAGGCCTAGACAGCCATCAAAGGCATCTGGTCTTACTTAAAACTGGCTTCTGTAGCCTAACCTTGTTCAGATTTGTGAAAGAGATGACTAATTCATTCAGATTTTTTTTCAAAGCTGTAGCTTCTAGGATGAATCAGACCTGTTTGATCTGTTGGATGGTAATCGTTTTAGGCTAGATGCTGTTTCTTTCTACTGATTTTAGTGCGGCCACTCATGCCACCATCTGCGGGCGAGCTGGCTGCTGTGGCTTCGGGCTGCTTGCCAGACGGGCCGCAGGCTCTGGGCCTTTGAAGGGATGAGTGCCATCTTTGAACAAGGCCGGGGAGATTCCAGCTAGACCAAAGGTGAACCTTCTACCATGAGGGAAAAGAAAATAAATAAATGATAAAAAAAAGGAATGAGGCACCAAGATACTGTAACAATGCTACCTGAACTACTTCTGAATAAATAGCAGACAACTATCTCCATGCTTCTACTTGAATTACTGTCAATGATGAAATGTATTAAAACAATAATAAAGATGCATATCTACTTTAAGTAAATGATCTATGAAATGTTCAAAAGATAGGCAGCAGAACATGGCTAACATTGTTAAGTGTTAGATCAATACAAGGAAAAATAAACAAAGACGTCAAGACATCAAGGCAGAAGAATTTACAGATCAGGCAAGTCGGAAACATTAACATGCAACTACAACAATGGTCTACAAAGAAAGTTTATTACATGTTAATTTTTTTTTTTCTTTAAAGAAAGAAACGTATGATATATATATAAAAATGAGTAAGGGCTCCCCTTGAGCAAGCGGTGACGACTCATACGATACCTAGATTGACCGTCAGTTTGACCCTTCCGCTGTCCAGCTCGAGCCGCAGAGTGTCTGCTGACTCACGAGACGTGGCGGCCATGAGCAGGCCGAAGGCCCGCTGAGACATAAAACGGAGGGAGAGATCCTCTGCCTCAGTGTGCATGATGTTAGGGATCACCACCTTCATATACATGCTGCCATCATATGATAAAATAGAAGCCTCTGTAAAGAAAAAAGGGATAAAAAATATCATTTAGCAATTTTCTTTTTATTCAGAGCTGACTTGAAGAGAGACAAACAACAACAGGTGTCTGTTTATGGTACATCAAACTTCTCAACATCGATTGAAAAACTTAAAATTTGTAATTTCCAATTATGATCCTACTTTTATATGTGAGGTTTTCAAAAGATATGTTTTATCTCTGCAGAAACAATTACTTCCAGCAAAATGAGTTCAATCATTTGAAGTCCATAAAAAAAAATCACAACTGTACTGAACAAATTATATTCAGACAACGGAAATATTATATGAATACTTTATCTTGGGTAAAAGGACATTGAATATACCTTTTAGAATTGAACTGTTGTAAATCTTTTCTTTGTTAAGATAAATTGCAGGTTCCATCCTAATACTAAAATATGAAAGGTAAAGGACATGAACTGTTTTATTATAGTATTTTATAACAACAATAGTGGTCTGAATAAAAAAAAAAAATACTCAGTGATTTATAATATATATGTAATTGTTAAATAAAAAACCTCAGTAACTGAACTGATTCTGTGGTCAGCTAATGAAACTTTCTACCTGTTTTTCTGACGCCATACTTAGTGTACAGCTATACTAAGCTTTGATCAGTGTACATTTTGGTTTATCAGTAAACACTTCAGGTGTTAAATGCTCCCTACCAAAAATAAAATAAAACAACAACTACAAAACCAAAAAGGACCTGAGAGTGCAGACCAAGCAGCAAATTATTGCCAAATTAGAATGATAGCTAAAACTCACACATGATCTGGATCCATAGCAAAACTTATTGGATTGTTCCTTGGCATGAGGCAGACCTCAGGTAGAAATGTCCTGAAAATCAGTCCATAACCTTTGAAGTAATCCTGCTAAAAATAAAGTGTTTTTTTTTTTTTGTGCCATGGTTTTTATGTTTTCAGTGGTGTCTGTTGGTTTGGTAACAAAATAATTACATTTTTACCAGAGGTGAGCATGATGCCAAAAAAAAAAAACAATCCATAAAATTTTGGTGATGATCCAGATTATAATCCGGATACATTAATTTTGAAAAAGATTAAGATATTTGGCAGAATCAAGCATTTCCAATTTAAACCAGAAGGTGGCAGCAGCAAAAGCCAAAAAGAAGGGAGCCATGCCTCACTCAAAGTTTCAGTCTGCTAATCAGGAAGAGTCTGGTTGGGTGGTTTGCTGGTTCTTAAGCAGGATTTATTGAAAAGCTGTTAACAGATTTTCGGGAAATTCTTACCAGAGGTGTGCTTCATGCAAAGAATCCTTTATTAAGAATTGGGTAATGATCCAGATCTTGTGTTACTTTTCTGTTTCTATGAGTCAAAATTAGGTGCAAAATGTGCTGCTTGTTGGAGATCTACGCTCTCTGAGTGCTTTTCGAGTCGTTTTTCTTATTTCAGACTTTTAAGTCCAACGTCACTGCTGCTACCTTCTGGTTTAGGGCGAACTACTTGTTCCTTTCTCACAATGTAGAAGAATCCTTTAAAAATATTCCTGTATCCGGATTATGGTCAGGATCATCAGCAAAATGTAGTCGATTCTTCCTGGACATGAGGCGCGCTTCGGGTAAAAATGTCATAAAAATAATGAAAAGAAAATAAATTAATTCCAAAATTCAGAAGTTTCCCAAATAATCCTAACAAACCAACCAAGAGGCCCAACCGAAAAAACATAACCTCCTTAGCAGAGGTACTGTAACAACGGGTGGGTCATTGGTTTAACTGAAAGGGGGGCCGTATTTGTCCAGGGCTTATTCCATCATAAATCAAAATGTAAATCCCTTTGTTGTCCCACAATACGGAAAGTCACTCTCTACATTTGACCCATTCCCTTAGGGCGCCACTATTCAGTGCCTAGGGAGCAGTCTGGGGTTAAGAGTCTTGCTCAGGGGCCCACAGCGGCAGGCTATGGGAGTGTGTGCGAACTGAACTCAGAACCTCCGGGACCCAAGCGCAATGCTCTAACCACTAGCCCAGCACAACAGCTCAGGTTTTTCAGACCCAACAAAGTTAAACACCAGTATGTAATTTGTCCATATAGATCTGAACAGGAAATAGATGCCACTTTGACAGAAAATCAAGTTTTCTCATAGTTTTTCCACTTAAACCTCTGTAAAGAAGTGATCATTGAGGAAAGCAGAAAAAGGCTTGAACACTGGGACATGAATGAATCCATGTCTCTCATATATTATTAATAGGAAACACACATACATGCCTGGCATGCCAATATTCAGCTGCATTGTTGGATGATGAATCTGCCAGCAAGGTTGAAAAACACTGTACTCTCCTTTTTTCCTGCCTAATGTCTTTTTTAAACACACCAGCTGGTGCCTGTGCTCCTCTTTTAGTAAGATGTCTTAGTGTACAGTTTACAATCCAAGAGGCATACGCAAACATACTGAAACACCATCAAAAATTCACACACTATAATCAAACAATGCACAATGAGAAATCATGAACTGCTGAGCCAGACTAATTTGTTCTCTTCCTTTAGAGCTTAAATAGAAACCGAGAACCGAGTGAGGAGGAGGAACGCTTGGAGTGCATGGGAAGACTCTCAGGGAGAGAGAGAAACAGATTAAAAAAGGTATCCAACCATGAAATATGTGGTTTGACATTGCAGTTTTTAAAAGAAAATAGAGCCTATATGGACCTAAGTAATGCTTCACTATTGGAGTGGAGAAATGCTACGGATGAAGATGAGGGGCTGTGGAGAATTCAAAGAAGATAGATATACATGGTAAAGGGGGGTAGGTCCAATTGCCTGTTGGATTTCAAGACAGGGATACTGAAACCTATATGATGTTGGAATTTTCATTATGCAAGCATGAAATAAGTCTAACACTTAGCGCAATGAATAGCGTACGACTATGAGGGCCCTGCATACATTTCTCTGCAAGTTTTGGGGTTGTTGCTTGATGCATTCTGCAAACAAGCCGTCTGCTGTTTGAGTACAGTTGCCTAGAGGACAACAAAAGCTTGGCTCGCCATTGTTTTACTCACTTTTAGATTGCACAGATTTATCTTGTCTCCTCTAAGGCACGCACAGATGAAATAAAAAAAAAAAACGTCAAACATCCACATATGCATGTAGAGCAGCCTGTTCACAGACAGCTCTCCTGACTGACAGAGGAAGTGATTGATCTGAAAGACCAGATCAGGCCCAACATTGTAAGCTAGAGGTGTAACAGTCATGAAGAGTGTGAACACCATCCTTAGACTAGAGATGTCAGGAAAACTTCCTGTGCATGCTTTGAGATAAAGAAAACATTTCAGCTGCACTTTTGTTTTTCCCAGCCCTATTCTTTACATCGTTTTAATCGAGACTTGGTATAGAAATGTAAACAAATCTGGATCTCAAACATTTAAACATCTCCATTTTAAATGAGAATTCTCATTATTCTTAAATGCATGGTAAAATAAAAAATAGTGTAAAATTTTTTTCATGCCTAAAGTTCCTTTTACTTTAGTATAAAATGTTTGACTATTTTGTAAATGACTAACTTTTCTGGTGATTTTATATCTTTTTTTAATGCTAACTTAAAGCAAAACAAAACGTGTTATTACAGAGCATCTCAGTATGTTTAGTCTGTTTCTTGTTTAGCTGTAAAGAGAGGAAACAGATGCCGCATTATGCAAAATAATTAGTTATATATATATATAAAAAAAAAAAATCATCATATATATATCTGAGAAATATACCAAATTGATTTAGAAAAGACGTATTGGAAGTCGAATAGAGTTCTATGCGTTATTAAAAAAGATAAACCACCATTGTTTGTTATTTTGTTTATAGAATCCCTGCTTGCAGTGGTGACACAAAGACATTATATGTCCCCTGTCTATGCAAGATATCTGCCGTTTTGAAAAAGATCAATAACCATTTTCTCCAAACGGTCCTCCTCTATGTGTACGCTCCATAATAAGCTGCAACAGTGACCTTTTCCTCAGTGTCTAAGTCATTCAATGAGCTTTTCTATTTTTTCCAAACCATTTTAAATCCCCAAATAATCAAGGTTTAAAATGATTATTATAGTCAGACTAATTAACGTAGTTGCAGGACAGAGAGCGTTCTCAGAACAATGATTGGACCTCTAAACCACTGTTGCACAGTTAATTCCATAAGCACACCACACATTTATTATGTGTAGAAAAAAAGTAAAACAAAACACCTTCAGATTCCTTTAATGTTGCTTTGCTACAAAACAGTAGCATTACTATGATTGTTCACAAGAACAGCACAGATGATGTCTGCATTAGAGTAACAATGTTGGTCAAAAATGCATCAGAAATAATAAATTCTGAATGTGAAAGTTTCCACAGCTTTTTCTTTTCTTACATCTTGTGTTGTGACAATCAGCCATTCATTGCTGCAGGGATTTACAGATCCTACAGGCTGCTAGTTTATGTTTCCAAACATCTTTGTCTCATATTTCTCTGGACTCCCTCATTAACTCTATATAAATTGGCGCATACTGTAAATCTTGGCCTAATAAACTTGCAGTCAACTGAGTTTGCAACCAGAATCTTCATAGTCTTTGCTCATTTGCACCTGGTACTCTGTGTATAGTAGCGGTTTGATTAATCTTATTGCGTTTTTCAGTGATTTTTTCTGTCTTGTTCAGTCCTGAATTAGTATAAGTATCCTACACCACAAGCCTAACCACAATTAAAACCACACATTCATATATATGAACTACATTTCCTCTGCTTTTTATTGTCTGAGAAATAAGGGTAAATCAGAAAAAGCTGTGACTCTGTGCAAAGATTAATAACAGTTCTCACAGCAGAGCTGGAGGTTGGAGAAAAAAAAAAGAAAAAAAAGCAGAAGCAGCCAAATCTATGAACTAATCATGGTGTTTCAGTGGTAAAGAGAACATGGAGCTCCATGAAAAGGGAGAGCTGCTGCTGAGATAACCATCATTCATACATAGTGCTGAGCTAATAACACACATCTGGTGACAAAGCAG